ACTCCGGGGTGGGGGGGTTGGTGGGAAGGGGAGGAGTGGGGAGCAAAGAGGGAGGGGAAGAAGGAGGAAGCAAGCGCGGCCGCTGCAGGGGGAGGAAGACCGGGAGGAGGAGCCGCGCGCGGCGGCGGCGGCGGCAACTGCGGCCGCCGGGGGAGCCGAGCGCCCGGGCGCGGGGAGCGCGGGGAGCCGAGCGGCCGCCGAGCCGGGGCCGCGGGCCGAGCAGCGGGTGAGTGGAGCCCCGAGGGGCGCGGCGGCCGGTTCCCGGGCCCGGGCGGGAGGCGCGGGCAGATGCGGCGCCGGGGCGGAGGGAGGGGGCCGGCCGAAGCCCAGCCCCCCGGCTTGCCCGGCCTCCCGCCTCCCCCTCCACTCCCCGCGGCTTCCTCCCGCCGCCGCTTGCGCCAGGGGGGCAGGTCCCGGGCGGGCCGCGGGCGGTGGGGGGGAGGTGCTGCCCGAGGGCGGGCGTCTGGGGCTGGGGGTGGAGCTGGGGGCTCGGGGGTGGACCCGGGGGCGGGAGGCCCGCCCGGGACGGCTCTAAATTGGCCGGAGGGGGCCGTCGGCGGCGAAGTTGCTAGCTGGGGGCAGAGACGGCCACGCGGTTGCAGGAGTAAGCGATCCCCCTGTGGCGAGTGCGTGAGACGAGGAGTCCGGCGTCCCTGCCATCCCCGTCGCCCTCCCCGCCTGACTGGCTCCGCTAGCTCCTCTCCTGGCCTCCGCGTGTCCCCTTGCTCTCACCCGCGCTGCTCCCCTGTTGGCTCCCGCGGCGCTGCCGGGTCCCCTCGGCCCTCGCCCTGACCCTTCCGGCCTCCGGCTTCCCCTGACCCCCGCCTGCTTCGCCACTGCCCCGTTCCCCTTTTCTGCCCTCGCTAGTTACCCCGCCCCGCTTCGTAATTCCCGATGCAATTGCCTCTTTGAGACCTTTTTTTTTTTTCCTCTCCTTCCTTTTAGATTGGCCAACGGCTCCTTTCAACCCTGCCTCGTTGGTGGCCACTGGAGAAGCGCGGGGGGCTCCCCAGGCAGCCGTGGGGACAAGTTAGAGCCAGCACTTGACCCCGGGCCCCGCGTGTAGCTTCCCTCCTCCCTGCCCTAGGTGCCCCGCTGTCCGGAGGGGGGCGGCGCGGGTGTGCCCTCCGTACATGTCCCAGCACCCGGGCAACCCTTGGGGCTTGTGTTCCATCTCGCTCTCGCTTCCGGCACGGTGGTCAAGGGGAACCACTTGGCATCATGTCCCGGTATAGCTACCAAAGTCTCCTGGACTGGCTCTATGGGGGCGTGGACCCCAGCTTTGCAGGCAATGGGGGCCCCGACTGTGCTGCCTTCCTCTCTTGGCAGCAGCGGCTGCTGGAAAGTGTGGTGGTCCTGACCCTGGCCCTGTTGGAGATCCTGGTGGCCCTGCGGCACATCCTGAGGCAGACGAAGGAGGACGGTAGGGGTGGCCGTGGCAGCCAGCCAGATAAGGTGACCCAGCGGCCAGAGGAAGGCAAGGAGAGCCTGAGCAAGAATCTGCTCTTAGTAGCCCTGTGCCTGACCTTCGGGGTGGAGGTGGGCTTTAAGTTCGCCACCAAGACCGTCATCTACCTGCTCAACCCTTGTCACCTGGTCACCATGATGCATGTGAGTCTGTTGACTTTTTCCCCCGGCCGCCGTAGTGATAAGAGTCATTTTGTGTGCTCAGGACACTCGGAAGTGTAGGGCACTTCATCCTGCGGGAAGTGGGACCCTTAAAAATGTTTCCCAAGAGTGGCTGGTTTTGTGCGGATTCCAGATTTGGCTTCCTCTAACCTTTGCACAATGTGTCAGCCCTGCAGTGGAGGTGAGGAACATAGTGATAAAGCCCGAGGAACCCACTGGCATGCTGGTAGTCTGTCAACCCGCCCCCCCCCCCACCAGTCCTGTCCTGGCCTTTCACAATCTGGAGGTGCAGCCCCAGCCAGGTGCCCTTTCTGGGTCACATCTGGGGACCACAACCAGCCCCCATCTCCTCTGCTGCAGTTAATTTCCCAGAGGCCTGATGACACTCTTTCCTGGAGGTGGTCATGTAAGGTTTCTTGTCTCCACTGTGGTACTTTGGGGGAAATACTTTAATGGGTTTCCCTTAATGACTCTTTCATTTGGGAGTTTTAGCTCTTAGGGCAAGGTCTGCCTTTGAACTCTGAGCCCCTACTAAGTGCGCTCTGAAACAGGCTGACTCCTGAACTTTGGGCTGGTGGCCTCTATCCATGGTGAGAGGGTGTTTAGTTTTTGCAGACCTCTCCATCTTTTTGCTCGTACTCTATTTCCTGTGGTCATGGTCCGGGGTGCTCAGAGAGCTGTTTTCTTTACCTCCCATTAGCGGTACTAAGAGAAACAAATGGGATTGAAAAGGAAAGTTGCCAGATACATAAAAATAATCTGGGCGAGCACCAAGAGTGAGACTGTCTTTCTGTACTCAGCCTGTGTGGAGAGATGTTCTAAAACTATAAAATCCTGGAGGAGAAGGAAGAGGAGAAAAGGAAAAAAAAATCTTTTTTAGATTTCAGGCTGTGAGAAACCTGGTGTGTTTTATTCAGGGACGGTGTGGAAACCTGTCATTAGCATCTTTATTGCTTTTTATATTTGTAGAAGTTTATTCTCAGGAGAGTTGTGACAACCCTGTGTGGGGCACGAGGTTGAGATTATTATGTTGGTCTTACAGGCCTGGTGGGGCCCAGGGACCAGAGGTCACTCACCTGCAGCCAAAAGATGAATTAGCATCAGAGTTGGAAAGCTAACCCACCCTCTTTGGGGTTGCAGGCTGTCAGTAGAATGAAAGGGCTGTTGGGGGGGTGGCGCGGGAGGCTGAGGCTGATCAGCATGGCACTGCCTATTTGTGGCTCCGATGCTTGCTGGGTCTGTTTTCCAGGTACTCTTGATTGCAGGTTCCTGGCCTCAGTTTCCCAATCTGTAAAATGTACTCAGTGGCCTAGTGGCCCTTCTGGTCTTTGCAGATGTGGCAGGGAGGTGCGGATAGCTGTGGAATAAAGAGGCTGTTATTGGTGGGGTGGCTGTCAGCACCGGGCAGGGCTGGAGGGCAGCAATTTTTTTTTTTTTAAGAGAGGGTTTCTTGGGATGTGATGCCATTCACAGGAAGCCCATGACTCTCCCAGCTAGACCTTCTGGGTAAATTTGAGCCAGTCCTCTTTCTTTCTTTTGTATGAATGGGCTTTTTGTTAATGAGAGGAAACAACACATCTCAGCCGCTGCTACGTGAGGCTCTTGGGACAGGAGTGCTTTTTTTGGATGGCAGGTGGTGAGGGTCAGGGGGTGCCTCTTCTACAAAGGGGTCTTGAGGCCTCTGGCAGCCGCATATCTAGAAGGTCAACAAAGGACTAAATTCAGCCTGACTGGGGCTGCTGCTGGTGGGATGACATCAAACCTGGCAGCACCAGGCTTTTCAGTGGAAAGGTTTTTAGAAGCTTTCACAAGCCTCTGGAGACTTGGTGCTGGCATTAATTAGTTGTGCAACTTTGAGGAAAAGTCCGCTTGCTGGGCCTCAGTTTGCCCATCTGCAAAATGAGACAGAGCTGCATTCACAGGTTGGGGCAGTCAGCGTTCTCTGATTCTTTTCTCCTTAAGCAGTGGCCAGGGAAGCAACAGAGAGGCCCTCTGGAAATGTTGCTGGCCTCCGTGTGTGGGAAAAGGAAACTTGTTTCTTCTTTGCTGAGGTCAGGGAGCCTTGTTCATCTTCTGTTTCCTGTATCTCCCCGGTAAAGTCAGCCTGGCCAGATCACCCTTGGATGCACGTGTAGATGATGATGGCATGTAGGGCTGGCAGAGGAGTGGACACTTGGGTGGTTGGGGGGGGTGGCACTCTAGGGACTGATTCCTGTCACCTGTACTCTTTCTTTTGTCCTGTGCTTCGCTTCAACTCTGAAGGCCTAGGGTGGAAGCAGAGAACAGAGTCAGGCTAAAGAATTCTTGATCCCAAACAGGATTATTCTCCTTTACTCTTTTCTCCTGTCACACTGCTTTGTGTCATTTAAATAGTCTCCTCAGGCCTGCTGTGGGCTGCAGCCTTTGGTGAGTCCCACAGCCCATACCCTACCTATGGCTCTTCCTGGGAAACAGGGAAGCTGGGATTTTTGGAAGTTGGTATGAGTCCTTGAAGACAAATGAACAGCAGATGGTTGGAAACCGTTTTCTGACTTGACGGCAGGGAGGACTAAGGATAGCTCGTCTGGTTAATCATACCTCACACTTCCCTGACACTTTAGTGTTTATGAGGCCCTTCCACTGACATGATCTTGTGCAGGGCCGCGCTAGGTTAGCTGGGGCCTGGAAAGAGAGACGTTGAAATGTTTCCTTTGGCTGTGTATATTCCAGAGGGGCGATGTTGAGTACAGAGAAATGTTTTGGCAAGTGAACTTGCTGAATTAGGCTACACGATGGCAGGACATTCTGTGGAGTTCAGAGGTCCTGAAAAGGCAAGGGAGACATTGGCTGAAATGAAAGGGACAGTTTAGCAGAAACATTTCTGATGTGTTTCTCGCCACAGGATGACTCCATTTGGGCTTCGTAGAAAGGCCTTGTTCCTCAGAGTCTATGTCCGTTTCTAACAAGGACGGTACTGCTTTAGGCCAGGAAGTGGGAGACTTGGAGGGAAATTGGTTCGTCTCCCCATCTCTCATTTTTTCAGTCCGTAAAGTATTTATTCCCAAGGCCTTTTTAAACAGCCCCTCATCATGGCCATGCTGCTCTTGGGTGACTGCCAGCCTCAGAAGCAGAAGGAAGGGCCATTCTTGCGGCCGAGTTCTGGTCTTCATTGATGTTCCTGCTGTACGGTTTGGTTTTGGTCTCATCTGCTTTTTCAAAGGCCCCAGGACTGTGGATGACAGCGCTTTGTGTCGCCTGAGTGCCAGCATCTCCCCTGTCAGTGTAAGCCAGGACGTGTGAGGGTTCCCGGGAGCGCCGGGCCCCACACACCATGGTTGGGCCCCTCCGTGAATATCTGTGGTGTTTACCAATCACACCAGTACATATTTCTTCAGGCGTCGCTACTTCCCTCGTGCATGTTATTTTGGGCAGGTAGGAGTGATAGGGAATGAATTTACTCAGCGATTATGCTAATTGCCCCAAATACCCCAGCAAGTTAGTAGCAGAGGTGGCTTTAGGACTGGGCTGCCATTGTGGGAATGGAGGCCTCAGCAGAAAAAGATTCTCAGAGCTACTCAAGTCCCAAAGTCTACAACTTCTCAGCGGGAGTGTTAAAATGCTAGACATTTGACTGCTTGTATCTTGGAAAGGCTGGGGTTCTTCAACTCTTGACCCTTTATCACCCTTGGGTCCAGTCATCACGTCTCTGTCTTAGGGACAGAACAGAAAGATGCCACTAATGGGATCTTCTATGGTTTCATACAAATTTTTTTTTTAGATTTGCCTTTGCTCTGGGGGTCCTATCTTCTTTACACTCTATTCCAAGTCTAATTTCCACCAAATGTGGCTGGCGTGCTTTTGCTTCACTGTTTGATTATCCTACTTCATCCTTCCTTGCTGAAAGTGGAAGAATGGCACAGATTCAAAATGGTGCTGAGCTTTTTGTGATACCTTTTGGAACGGCCTGAATAAACAGTGATGTGTTCCATTCGCCCCGTCTTGGATTTGTTCTAGAGAAGGACCTGATGGATTTGAGAATGGGGCTTTTTTGACCCCCACCCACCCCCGACTCCTTGACTTGAGAGACCAGCCACACCTCCATATCCCCATCTGTTGTCTGGAGCGCGGATAACAGCTTCTGCTTGGAATTGACGTCGGTGGGTAAATGGGTACAATGAGGGATCCAGCCATCTGCTGACAGCTTATCAGATGGACTGCGTCCTGTGTCATGAGTCTAGGGGGACACAAGAAGATGATGTTTATGTGGGCCTCAGCAGTGAGGCATGACATTCCTTTTTAGTTTGTTTTATTTCTCCCCCAAGGAAATGTGCAGAGAATTTTTCCACCTTCCATTGTTACGGTCTTTTGGGGGTGTCCATTTTAAGGAGAAGTGGTGTGGATTGGTGGATCAAACACCCCACAGATGGCCCTGGGATTGACCCTTATGATGCGAGTTTGGCTCATGGCTTGCTATGGGAACCTGAGCAGATTATCTCATCTTTTCCTGTCTCCGCTTTCTCGGTGAAACCGGCTGTGTGGAAGAGCATTTTAAGCCTCTGAGTGACTGTGGTCACTTAAACAGAGAAGCTGGGCAGAGCTGATCAGAGCTGGCAGATGAGATGTGTGTATGTATATATATATATATTTTTTTTTTTTTAATCTCAAACTCAGAAACTGACAAACCTCAACTCCTTTGCATCTTCGTTAGCTTTTGGAATTCATTCCTCTAAGCATTTCTGGTGCTTTTTTCCGGTTCCCAGCCCACGCCTGTGTACCCTCCTAAGGTACAGCCTCTGAAACTGGGCACTGCGCCCCCATCAGTCCATCCCCAGCACCTGCTGATACAGCCCAGTGTGGCACCTGTTTTAAGTACCAGTATGTTACTGGCTCCTGCCCACGGGGTGCTGACCCGGCCCCGAGTCCAGTTATTCCAATCATTCTGGTAACACATTCTGTCTCCCTTTGTCAACCCTCCGCACATTCCTCAGACTCTTTGGCTAGTT